GGTCATTAATATCAATTTTCTCATCAATATTTCACTTTCAACCAAACATGGACTCATATAATTTAACTTAATTTTCCCAGCAATATTTTGGTCAACCAAACAATTTTTTTTAAACTTCCCTACCAAATTTACTTTCCTATCATTTTTCTAATAATTACATTTACCTGATTAAAAAAAATTTATCCTGAACCAAACACAATCTTATTCCCAACAAAAAATTTAGTTTACCACACCAAAATTAAATACATTATTCTTGTACCTAGAAGGATTAGACCCCCACCCGAAAAGTATATATTTTTTTATTTATTAGAATATTTAATGACAGCCCGAACAGCAATACAAAAGCATCTATTCCTACAGGAAATAGTACAACACCACAACTAGTTCATTTTGTACCCGACAATCCCTAACACTAAAAAGTAACACCACTGATACACACAAATCAGAACCTTGTAATATTTCAACAATTTCCAATATCCCATTTAACAAAGTATGAAGTAATACAAAGTTACAAATCCTTATTTGAACCAAGACGCGTACCAACCTAGTACATTCCTGGGAATGAGAAATTTGGAGCGGCAAAACATAACATACAAATTACAAATGGCCCTTTCACTTTTTCGTCTCAGAGGTTCAAAGTATTTGGCCCCTACTTTGTCCCCCCCCCCCCCCCCCCCCCCCCCCCCCTTAATTTGGTAAACTTTATTACGTCTTTTTTTTGGATATTAAACTTTAATACGTCTGATATATCATCTCAAAAATAGGTAGAATCAAAGTTTAAATACATAATTCTTTTAATAAATTCATGTCTAGTTAAAAAATAAAAACAATATATAAATTGTTACAAAAAAAAAAACAATATATAAATGAGTTTATGTATGAGTTCGCTTTTTCTGCAGTTACTGCAGATAACTTATCTGCAGTAAGCCCAATATGACGTCGTTTTGGGACAGAAATCATGATGTTTTTAATATTAATGGCGATTAAGATGAAATGGAAATTCATCACAGGTTTTGAAATGACAACGCAGGTAGATTCTGCGAGGATGAGGTATTTAGATTTTTTTTTATTTTGGATTTATTTATTTGCATGGTTCAACTTGATGCTTCTATCGGTTACGTGCATGCATCAAGTGATCTATTGGACTAGGAATATTATATTTTTACTCATGTTAGCCTGCAGTTAGCTTTGGTTGATGTTCAAATACTAAGAATGATAATTATTTAATTCTTTTTTATCTTAATTAGATGTTAATTAATAAGATAGTTAACTTTTTTATCTTACACTTAGCCTCCAGTTAGCTTCTGCCAGAAGAGTCTGGACAAACATTTTTTTCTTTTATTTTGTTCTATGGTGTATGTATCTTGTGGTTTACTCGGTTCTGTTTTGTGTGTCTAATTTAAGTTTTTTTGTTGAGTAGCTAAAACTTAGCTTTCATTTGTGTAGATGGTTTCACCTTTGGAGACACTGGGAAGGGCTGTCAGCTGAACTACAAATCAAGAAACAAACTCATATTGTTCTATAAAAATCCCCAAAATTGCTGAAACTTATTGTTTTATCAGATTCCCAGATTATAGATGCTTTGACTTTCTACTTCAAGAAATTTTTATGAAAATGCATGCTTGTGATGATGAATGAGCAAAAAATTTGATGGCTTGTTATTTAACTTTGTAGCTTGATAGTTTCTGGATAGAAACTAAACCATGCTATGTATCAAGTGCCTTCAATTTTTTTTAACTTTTTTTTAATTGACAGCCAAAACAAAAAAAAAAAAAAACCTAGAACTTGGGTAGTCATATTATAAAAAAATTAAAACGTATTATTTTTTTTTTATTTTCTCCCTACAAATTAGCCACATTTATAATGTGGCTAATGTAAAAATAACCGTGGCCAATATAATGCTACCACACTCATGACAACAATAGCAAAGTGAGAAAACAAATGTGGCTAAATAAATGCCACGCCAAGATTAGCTACGTTTGGCAAAACTGTGGTAGTTTGATTTAGCCACATTTTTTGTTAAATTTAGCCACGTTTTATAATGTGGCTAAACAACGTATTTTTTGTAGTGAATGTGGCTGAGTTGGAGGGTTTTCACAGGGGGTTTTATAAGAGTTATTGTAATACCCCATATTTTCTTTTAATAAAATAATAATAATAATATAATAATAAATTTTTTGGATAATAATGATATTTAGTATTTTTGTAATTAATAATATTGGTATTTAATATTTTTAATTAATGAGTTAATAATAGTTAAAATAATAAGAGGTAAGATAATAATAATAGTAATATTATTTGATTTACGTGAAAATATATATATATATATATATATAAATTAGATGATAAATCATGATTAATTGATTTATTAATTGATTGATGATTTATGTATTAATGTTTGATTGATAAATTGTTTAGATATGATAAGTCAACAAACATAAATTATTTAGATAAGATGAGTCAAAAAAATAAATTGTTTAGATATGATGAGTTAGCATTGAGTCAATAGTGTATAAAGCCAAAATCTGAGCCAAATACATCAATAAAGAAAAAGGAAATAAATGCATGAAACCCATATCCGAGCCCAAAACTTCAACTATAAATAGAGACCTAACCTAACCAAACCAATTCACTCTGAATCCTCAGTAATTCTCCACCACTCTTCTTCTCCTCTACACTTTCTCTTTCTCTCTCCTCACTTTAAATTTTTATTTTTATTATTATCTTTCTTTGGTTACCAACCGCTTCTCTTCCCCAAGTTGTAGAAGTCACCAAACACGGAGACCAGGTAATCCTAATCTCTAGGTGGTTGTAGATTCGTTGTGTATGAAATTTTATTGTGTGCATCCTAATCTTTAGGTAGTTATATGTTTTATTGTGTGTATCCTAATCTTTAGTTAGAAATTTATGAGATTTAAATAAATGCATAAGACATATTTCCTTTATTTAAACTTTAGTCTTTGGTTTTATTTTAATGTAATAAATTTAGCCTTGCACCTGTGTAATACCCCATATTTTTATTAACTTTAACCTTATGCCTTTTAGTTTAATTGAGAAGCTCAAACTTTTAAGTTTCGAGGACGAAACTTCTTTTAAGGAGGGTAGAATGTAATACCCTATATTTTTATTAATAATAATAATAATAATAAACTATAAATTAGTAGTAATAATATATATATATATATATATATATATATTTATTTATTTATTTTTATTGGAAAAATAATTTTGATACTTTGTAATACTCTAGGTTATTAATAATAAAATAATATTAATATATATGATGATAAATTATGATTAATTGATTTATTAATTGATTGATGATTTATGTATTTATGTTTGATTAGTAATGATTGATTAGTAATTTGTTTAGATATGATGAGTCAACAAACACAAATTATTTAGATATGATGAGTCAGCATTGAGTCAGTAATGTGTAAGCCTTAAACTTCAACTATAAATAGAGGTCTAGCCTAACCAAACCAATTTACTCTTCAACATTTCTCCTCTACTATTCTCTCTTCTTTGTTCAAAAACTTAGTTTAATTTATTTTATATTCTTCTGATTACCAACCGGTTCTCTGCCCCAAATTACTCTTTTCTTCTATAAGTTAGCGAAAACGGAGACCAGGTAATCCTAATCTCTAAGTGGTTGTAGGTTTGTTGTGTATGAAATTTTATTGAGTGTGTCCTAATCTTTAGGTAGTTATATGTTTGATATATGTAATCTTAATCCCTAGAGAGTCATAGATTATATTGATATGAATTTTGATATATGTAATCCTAATTTCTAGGTGTTCTTAGGTTAGTTTTATATGAAATTATTTATATCACGATTCTTAAATTCGAATTATTACATGTGATATTTAGGAAATTTTTATTGGAAAAATAATAGAATTTTTATTTTGAGAATAAATGGATATGATTGAATATCCATATTTTAATGATTGAATAATTATGATAATTGATGTGATGTGATTGTATGAATGACGATGATTAGATTTGGGTTTTATTATGATAAATGTTGAAGATTTGAATTATTATATCCTTGAATAAATATGAAAGTTATGATGACCTTGAGTAATGGATATATTGAAAGAAGAAATTTTCAAATGTGATATGATAATTGAGTGTGATTGTAAATAATTAAATAGTGGGATGATAGCTTTGGGATGGTACCTCCCAAGGTGATGAACACAACTTTTATATCACGATTCTTAAATTCGAATTATTACATGTGATATTTAGGAAATTTTTATTGGAAAAATAATAGAATTTTTATTTGAATGTAATAGAGTTAGCCTTGCACTTGTCCCTGTACAGGTGCGGCGGTAACACTTCCCAAATTCGATTATTTTGAACTTCCGCTGTTATTTATAAAATTATTGAATTTATTTATGCTATTATAAATTGTTAGAATTTGGGGTGTTACAACCTGTCCATTGTACAGGTGCGGCGGTAACATTCCCCAAATTAGATTTAGATTAGCTTTCGCAATATTTCTATTATCATAATTGTAAAAAAAAAAAGAATTTTGACAATTTATTTATTATAAGATTGTTTTATAAATTGTTAGAAATTTGGGGTGTTACAGTTATCTTAGGACCATTTTGTTTCACGTGAAAGATGTTGTTTTTTGGAGGATTGTTATTCATTAGTTGCATTATAACTCAATTGCTGCATCTGTGTGGTCTTTATTTCGGCGTTTTCCCTGTAACCTAATCATTGCTTTTGTTTACCGTAAATGGCCATTTCCTGTCACTGTTTCATTCAATGAAAGTGATAACCTTAACTTCATCCTTCAATGACTTTTATTATTATTTTTATTTTGTTCTATTATCCATTCAGAACCAATGACATGTATTGATATGGTTCATTTCTTCTCTATATGTCATTCCCATTCTCAACTGTTGACAGACACTCTTTCATTCTCTGGAATCTAACCATAAATGTTTGCTTGTTTTGTTGTTGTTCAAGATAAGATGAGCTTTTTAGCGAAGATGTTTTTGTGCATGAATCCGTGTGCCAAGCCAACCCCCGTTGATGGGGATGAAGATGGCCGTGGGAACGGCACGCCGAACACAAAAGAAGCCGTCAAGGGTCTGACGTCGCAGGTCCTTAATACTATCTCCCTCTCTCTCAACAAACATTGTTTTTTTCATCTTCTTTTTCCATCTTGGTTAAAACAAACAAAATCAAACCAAATGTTTACCTTCTTCACCAATCCTAACCATCGATAGTCATATGGTGTAAATTGATTTTAACTATCGTAATCAAATCTTGAGATATCAAAAATAAAAAACAAATATACATAAAAATTTCTCTACCCCTTGAAATGTTATAGTTACAATTGTCATTAAATATGTCTTAACATTTATTAATCGGATAAATAAGTCAAATGTTTTTATTATGGTATAAATTGATTTTCACGATGGCAGTTTAATTTTTGAAGTATCCAAAATTTAAAATAAACGTATCAGAAATTATAGGACAAAAATCTCTCTACCCTAAGATCGTTATAATTATGGATGTCAATTAACGAATCCAACATTTGTTAATCAGATAAATAACCCAAATATTTTTTATTATGGTATAAATTGATTCTAATGACTGCAATCAAATTTTTAAAGTATCTAAAATTTAAAAATATATATATATATATATATATATATATTTAATGCTAGCTTACCATAAAAAGTAAATTCAAAATTTCGATGCCATGTTATTTTTTTATTAAAAATTGGGGCTTATAAATTTTTTGTTGCTGCATCAACACAAAATTTGTAGAACTCGTTAGCTATAGCATTGCACGGGTCGATACGCACAAAAAAAAAAAAAAAAAAAAAGAGAAAAAAAAATTGTGACCCTCATATTTTATTGTCTCAGCTGCAAAATAATTTTTGGAGGAGTAACGTAAAATTTATACACCCCTTAAAAGGTCATTGAGAGGGTGTATGTGAGTGACCCGAATGCTGTGTTGCCATAAAATCTGTGCCATTTACTTTTTCTTTTCTTTTAATGAAGTCTAGATGTTATTTGTTATTTGGCATTTTACAAGATTTTTGGAATTGGTTGTTTGATTGGATTGTGTATTGGACTCCTTTAAAATGGTTTCTTTTTGTAATTACATTTCCTTTTTATTTAGACATTAACATGTATACTTGTTGACATTACAGGTTGTGGAACGTTTCCATGAATTATTTGCCCAAACAAAGTATAAAGAAGCAGCTGAGCTTGCTGCTGAATCTCCACAAGGAATCCTTCGGACACCTGATACAGTTGCCAAATTTCAGGTTTCTTATAGGATGTAGCTATCAATGATTTTGTTCATGCTCTTTCTGCAACAGAATTTACCTACAGTCATTTTTTTTTAGGGTTAAAGGAAATTGAACTGTTTTTAGGTCTGTCCTATTTTTTGGGTCAATTAGACTGTAATGGTTAAAGTGTCACATTCTGTTCTATGTGGCAGAGTGTTCCTGTGCAAGCTGGGCAAACTCCTCCTCTATTGCAATATTTTGGAACACTCTTAACGAGAGGAAAGCTGAATGCCTTTGAGTCATTAGAACTGTCACGGCTGGTTGTGAACCAGAACAAGAAAAATCTTTTGGAGAATTGGTTGGCAGAGGACAAGCTTGAATGCAGTGAGGAGCTAGGAGATCTTGTAAAGGTTGGGTTGCATTTGAAATTTTGAAAAACTTTAAATTGATCTGTTTATTTATTCATTTTGCTTTTCTTTCTTTCTGATTGTTTGCCTAATGGTATACTCCTTGCTGAATTTGCTTATTGTCTAATGGTGTATTTGTGTTAATTTTTATAAGTGTGCTCCATTGTAGACTGTGGATAATGATCTTGCTATAAAAATATATATCAAAGCCAGAGCTACTCCAAAAGTTGTTGCTGCTTTTGCTGCGAAAAGGGAGTTTGACAAGATTCTGATATACTCGAAGCAGGTAGAGGGCATGTTTTATGAAATAATATTGAAGTTTGATTCATAAGATTCTTTTGTTCTTCTCTTGTTAAATTATTTAATGTTGTTATTATGGTCGGTAGAATATTTTACTCAGCCTGTATTATGAACATTGCATATCCTGCCCTTTTCATTTTACTGGAACAAATTTGTCCTGAACATTTTCATTACTTTGTTGCGATAGGTTGGGTATACACCTGACTATCTCTTCCTTTTGCAAACGATTCTTCGGACAGATCCTCAGGTATGTGAGAAACCTTTGTAATTTTGAACTATTTCAACAAGTTTACTTTTTTCATTTTAATTTGCAGAAAATTTTAGTTTTACAAATTAATTCAACTACTATTTCATTTTGATTTGCAGGGTGCTGTTAATTTTGCATTAATGATGTCGCAAATGGAGGGCGGTTGCCCAGTTGATTACAATACCATAACCGATCTGTTTCTTCAGGTTAATTATATACTGTAATTAATCCATTACAGTGATTAGTTATATAATATTCCTGCTTGGTGATCTTTTTTGTAGTACAAAATGTTTCTTTTAAGTGGCATTATCTTTATTAGACTCGAAAGCACATGGACTGCCATGTCATTTCCCCTCCTTATTTTAGCAATATGCATTACTGGACAGTCCATTTATTAGCTTCTGGTTACTTTTTTGTCCTGCTCAGAGAAACCTGATCCGTGAGGCAACTGCCTTTCTCCTAGATGTTTTGAAGCCAAATCTACCAGAACATGGGTTCCTTCAAACAAAGGTTTCAGTCTTCATTTATCATTTGTTGTAGGCATTTACTCCTATTGTTCTTTCTTTGCAATGATTCCATCTTGTGAATTATTGTTCAGGTGTTGGAGATAAATCTGGTAACTTTCCCTAATGTTGCTGATGCAATTTTGGCTAATGGCATGTTCAGCCATTACGACCGTCCTCGTATTGCCCAACTTTGTGAAAAAGCTGGTCTTTATGTGCGAGCTTTGCAAGTAATGACTCTCCAAATGTGTTTTTCTCTTACCCTTTTTCCAGTTTAAGCTGATAATCACCCTCTTGCTGATTGCATTATTTTTTTACAGCATTACACAGAGTTGCCAGATATAAAACGCGTGATTGTAAATACACATGCAATTGAGCCACAGGTTTATGTTCCCTATTGTTTTTATAATTTATATAGTTTAACATCATGGTAATTTCAAAACACTCACTCATTATTTGGTTGTTGCAGTCACTTGTTGACTTTTTTGGTACTCTGTCGCGAGAATGGGCATTAGAGTGCATGAAAGACCTATTGCTGGTCAATCTTAGAGGCAACCTGCAGATAATTGTGCAGGTACAGAAGTACTGTTGTCTTCTATAACTTGGAATTATTAATAATTAATTGATAACTGAAGCTTACTTATATTTGTTCAGGTTGCTAAAGAATATTGTGAACAATTGGGCATTGATGCTTGCATAAAGATTTTTGAGCAGTTCAGGTCGTATGAAGGACTGTATTTTTTCCTTGGATCATATTTGAGCTCCAGGTAATTCTTTCATTTTGAAAAATCTGTTTTGGCTTGTGGACAAATGATTCCACTCGTACAGGAGATAATATCCAATGTATATGTGCTAATATATGTTTATCTGAATATGGGACAGTGAGGATCCTGACATTCACTTTAAGTACATTGAGGCAGCAGCAAAGACTGGACAAATCAAAGAGGTCGAGCGTGTGACTAGAGAATCAATTTTCTATGATCCTGAGAAAACGAAAAACTTTCTAATGGAAGCCAAGCTTCCTGATGCACGACCTCTGATAAATGTTTGTGACCGATTTGGATTTGTTCCAGATCTAACACACTATCTATACACAAACAACATGCTTCGCTACATTGAAGGTTATGTTCAGAAGGTATTTTATTTTTGTTTTCATTTCTATTGTAGTTGCCTTGCTTATTTCTTGAGCGCTATCTACTCTCTCTCTCTGTCCCAGTCATAAGTTTTTGCCTCACTTTATAGGTGAACCCAGGGAATGCTCCTTTAGTTGTTGGGCAGCTGCTAGATGATGAGTGTCCAGAAGATTTTATCAAAGGCTTGATTCTTTCTGTTCGTTCATTACTGCCAGTGGAGCCCCTTGTTGCGGAATGTGAGAAGAGGTGGTATCTGTTCTCTAGTTCTACTTATTGCTGTTTTTCATCCATGTTTCTGATTTTTTTCTATGGTGCTTTTTTTGCCATGCAGGAATCGGCTTCGTTTGCTCACACAGTTTTTGGAACATCTCGTAAGTGAGGGAAGCCAGGATGTACATGTTCATAATGCATTGGGTAAAATCATCATTGATAGCAACAACAACCCAGAACATTTTCTCACCTCCAACCCATACTATGATTCGCGAGTTGTGGGCAAATATTGTGAGAAACGTGATCCCACCTTGGCAGTTGTAGCCTACAGGCGAGGACAATGTGATGATGAACTTATCAATGTGACAAACAAAAATTCTTTGTTCAAACTACAAGCAAGGTTTGTGGTGTATATGTATCTTTCAGTAAATAATTATCCTTGGCTTCAATGCTTACATGTTTATATTGTAATAACAGATATGTTGTCGAGAGGATGGATGGTGATCTTTGGGAGAAAGTTCTTAACCCTGATAATAGTTACAGAAGGAAACTTATTGATCAGGTTGTATCTACTGCTCTGCCTGAAAGCAAGAGCCCTGAACAAGTATCTGCAGCTGTTAAGGCTTTCGTGACTGCTGATTTACCTCATGAATTGATTGAGCTTCTTGAGAAGATTGTGCTTCAGAATTCTGCATTCAGCGGGAACTTCAATCTGCAGAATCAGCTTATTTTGACAGCAATAAAGGCTGATTCATCCAGAGTTATGGATTATGTTAATAGACTGGATAATTTTGATGGGCCTGCAGTTGGAGAAATGGCTGTTGAAGCTCAGTTATATGAGGAAGCATTTGCAATTTTCAAGAAGTTCAACTTAAATGTTCAAGCAGTCAATGTCTTGCTAGATAATATTCATAGTATTGATAGAGCAGTGGAGTTTGCTTTCCGGGTTGAAGAAGATGCTGTTTGGAGTCAGGTGGCCAAGGCTCAACTCAGGGAAGGGCTAGTAAGTGATGCAATTGAGTCATTTATACGAGCCGATGATGCCACACAATTTTTGGATGTTATCCGTGCTGCTGAAGATGCCAATGTTTACCATGACTTGGTGAGATACTTACTGATGGTAAGGCAGAAGACAAAAGAACCCAAGGTGGACAGTGAGCTTATTTATGCATATGCAAAGACTGATAGGCTCAGTGACATTGAGGAGTTCATTCTTATGCTGAATGTGGCCAATCTTCAAAATGTTGGTGACCGATTGTATGATGAAGAACTATATGAGGCTGCAAAAATTATATTTGCTT